CTGGCCATTGTAAACCAAGGAATACCTACAGCATTGTAGGGAAAGGTATCCTGGCCATCAAGAAATACCTACTGCACTGAAGGGAAGGGTATCTGAACGGAAGTGTTACAGCTCTGTACCCGTCAGGGATGATTTCCCCAGCAAAGTGTCACAGTCCTTGTTTCAGGAAAGGTTTCCCTAATGCAAGTGTAACAACTCTGCTCCAGCAGAAGAGGGTTTCCACAGGGAGGTTCTGCTGTGCTCTGCTCTGCTCTCTGCTCTTTGCTCTCTGCTCTGCTCTGTCTCTGCTTTTTTATCTCTCTCCCCCCACCCCCCGCTGGCTCTGCTCTGCTCTGGAGAAATATTACAGCTCTGCTCAGCTTCCCAGGAGTGTAACAATTCTGTTCCAGCAAGGGAAAATTTCCCCAGCCAAAGTGTTAACCCCTGCTCTGCCCAGGCTAAGTGAGTTTCCCCGCAGAAATGTAGAAATTCTGCTCTGCTCCAGCAAGAGCCATTACAGCTCTGCTGTGACAAAAGTAGTTACTTCTCTGCTCCATTTCCACCGCAAAAGAAAGTCCTTATGACAGACCTCACTCAAGAGATTTATTAGGAGGGAGGAATCCAGAAGAATGGCTGCCTCTGCCAGAGTGAGGAAAAAAGGCAGCCCCAAACTGAACAGGTAAAGGGCTTACATAGGGTTTTTTTGGGGGGTTGGGCGTTTTTTTTTAGTTTTGTTTTGTTTTTCGCGACAGGGTTTCTCTGTATTGCTTTGGAGGTTGTCCTAGAACTCTCTCTGTAGACCAGGCTGGCCTCAAACTCACAGATACCCATCTACCTCTGCCTCCCAAATGCTGGGATTAAAGGTGTGCGCCACCAACACCCAGCTTAAAAGTAACTTTCTTATTCTTATTTTATGTACATTGGTGTTTTGCCTGCATGTATATCTGTGTAAGTGAGTCAGATCTTGGAGTTACAGTTATAAGAAGCCATGTGGGTGCTGGGAATTGAACCTGGGTCCTCTGGAAGAACAGCTAGTGCTCTTATCCACTGAGCCACCTCTCAAGCCTGGGGTTGGGCTTTCAAGGTGAAGGTTTTCAGGATGGGGATTGGTAAGTTTCCAATGCCTGAGCTGGGGACAAGCTCAGAGATTGGTTGGATTTCGTGCTCAGCGATTGGTCAGATTTTGTGCGCAGGGAGATTGGTTGGATTTTGTGCTCAGGGATTGGTTAGTTTTGTGCTTGGATTGGTTGGGTTTCAATTCCCATATTGGTTAGGGGCAGGATGTGTTTCCTTAGCTCTAGTCTCAGGGCCATGGTGTTCTTTCACTGACCCCTTTTACCCTACAGATAGAGAGCATTCTGACTCGAGTGTTTCATTGCAGAGACCACTCAACCTTTATTATCACATACCACAGACTCAAAAATAAAACATTTCCATCATTCCCAGCATCAGCCATGCACCAATACACTTTTGAAGGGATGAATTATTGGAATATATCCAAGTGGTAACTTCCTTTAGGAAATGGGAGATACTCCTAGGAGGGAAACATAAATTTAGGGTTATAAATAAACAGTTCATGATTCATCAGCTTCAGAGCCACCCAGTTGTAATTCATGGTGCAGTGTGCTTAAAAATCCATGCAGAGTAAACTCATCTACCCCTTTATGCCCCAGGATGCTGGAGACAGATTATGAATGGACTAGAGAAAAGAAGTAGGAGAGAAGGGATGGAGAGATGGCTAGGAGCACTGGGGTGTAGGAGACAAGAGAGGGAGTCAGAGGGAATAACATCTTGATGGAGATATGAGCAAGAGTTTGGAGAGTAGAAGAGAAGGAGAGGGAGGAAGGAAGGGGTAGGAGAAGGGTAAGAGGACAGCTGGAGAAAAGTGGGGAATGAAGCAAAAGAATATAATTGGGGCAGAAGAGGGAGTAAAGGGGAAGGGAATTCCCTGGAGGCAGGAAATGGTGACAGCTGAGGGGAGATGGAGAAAAAGGGTGGAGAGATACTAGAGAGATTGGAGATGGGGAGGAGGACTAGTCAGAGAGGGGGAGGAGGACTAGTTAGAGTAGAGATGGGGAGGAGGACTAGTTAGAGAGGGGGAGGAGGACTAGTTAGAGTGGAGATGGGGAGGAGGACTAGATAGAGAGAGGGGAGATGGGGAGGAGGACTAGTTAGAGAGAGGGGAGATGGGGGAGGAGACTAGTTAGAGAGAGGAAGCAAGGTGGAGGATTGGAGAGGAGAAGGAGAAAGAGAAACTTTGAAGCATGAACCAGGCAGGTGGTATATACCTGCAACTTTAGCACTCAGAAGGGGAATGGGAAGCTATGCTGAAAATGGAGAAGACAAGGGTGACTTAACTGCCCTGACCAAGGGAGGAGATACCTAGAGAGCAAACCAATGCCTGATCTCTTCTTAGCTGGAGATAAGTGTAAGGGACACGTCAGAACGGCAAGGATAAATATAAAGAGCTTTAAATACCTCTTCAAACAGTGTTAAAGGGCTGCTAGACATCTCAGTGATCATATACTTGACCAGCACACATGAGGCTCTGGACTCATTCCCCAACACAGCAAATAAACTAAAATATGAATTTCAATCAGTACAGTATTATACTATCGAAAATAGCAAGAAGAAAAATATTTGAACTTGATATGGAATGTTTTCCCCAAATAGATTTACATTTGTATCATCAATTAATTCTCAACAGAGAGGCCAGGATAGAGAATTCAACAGAGAAACATCTGACTGGGGCTAATAGCTGAAATCTATAAAGAACTACACACACACACACACACTGAAATCCATCAGCCAATAAATGGGCTAATGGATTGAATAGATGGCCCTCAAAGGGAAAAATACAAATAAGTATTTGAAAAAAAAATGTTCCAACAGCCTTCACCTTCAGGGAAGTACAAACTAAAATTGCCTTGAGATTCTTTCTCAACCATCAACATGGCTATCATCAAGAAAACAGATGGCAAGTATTGGAGAGGATGTGGAGATGCGGCGTCCGATGCTAATCCTCATCTGTCCCTAACCAGCAATGAGGCTATAGGCAAATCAAAACCTGAGTGTGAGTTCCCATCACATGCCAGATGGTCAATGCTTTGCCCCCCATTTGCCACAGAGATAATGCAATGCAATAAGGTTGAAATGATCTCCCCAAAACAATGAAGTGTAATCCTACTTAGGGGTGGGAGGGAGTGGTGAAAGGGTTCTAACAGATTGATCAGAGTGTGGGCATCCTGTGAGGAATGCAAACTCCAGGACCCAAAACATTAGGTTCTGTATGACACCTAGAACACCAGGTAACTGAAGGTAAAACAAAACAAACAAACAAACAAACAAAAAACTACAGCATGGGTGGCATGGGACTCTGTTATACAACACAAGAATAAAGTCTTCCTTTCATACACAGATGAAATTATGAACAGAACAAGGGCACCTATCCTCGAATGTCACACAGAAGCTCTAATTGTGAAAATTCAGGGAGATGTTAGTGCCACCTGCCACCACACTAACGAGTTTAATTCTTTCCATGTGTCGTTAAGTCAAAGATTATAAAGATATGGACAAGATGTATACTATTTTACTTTCTCCTTTTATAGTTGAATCATTGCCTCCTAAGACATGAAATGGGTGTATCCTGCAGCCATAAAGGGATGAGATCCTGCAGAGATTCAAAAGACGCTATCCTTTCCCAGCCTTAACCCACAGCTGTCCAGCCTTTGGATGACTTGGGAAATGTGATGATTTGGGTAGGTGTCTCCCTACTCCAATATGCAGGTTTCAAGGCTTGGTCCCCAGTCTGTGGCACTGTTGGGAGGTAATAGGCCCTTTAGGAGGTGGGTCTAGTGCAGCCTTCAGTTTTAAGGACATTTACATGCCTTGTGAATCATTTGGCAGATTTGCAAAAACTTCTCCACACTCATGTACATACCCATCTCATGTGCACTCGAACATTCTGTATGTCACCTCTGATTTCTTATTTGTCTTGCAAGACTCTGATGGCTGTATCCTGCTGGCTTTGCTGTAACAGAATGTCTGACAGAAGCAATTTAGGGAATTATCAATTTTGGTTCACAGTTTCAGTCTATCATGGTAAGGATGGCTTTGGAAAGACAGTGCAGTTTGAGGCAGGAGGAGGTTGTGGCAGATATTCACATCTTGGCTGACCAAGAACAAGAGTAAAGCAGGAACTAGGGGCCAGGAATATCCTTGAAAGGTTGGCCTGCCTATAATAAGCTGCTTTCTCCATCAAGGGTGTACCTCCTAAAAGTTCTGCAGCCTTCCCAAATAGTGTCACCAGCCAGGGCGCAAGCATTCAAAACATGAGCCTGCAGAGGACACTACAGATTCAAACTGTAACAATGACTGCACATATACTCTGCTAGGGACAGGGTCTCATTCTTTTCCTCCACCCCCCCTATTTCTAGTCCAACCCCAAGATTCTCATGCTCAGTAAAGACACAAAGTTCAGCCACAAGACCTTTCAATTACATTTCAGTTTTAGATGACATGGAGCTGTTTCTAGTTCAAAGTCAGAGCAAATGCCAGTCACACCAATCAGAAGTTTTACATCCTGGATTGAGGATCACATTTTTATTCATCATGGACCACTTTTCTTAGCACCAGTTTCTAAATCATTGCCAGTTATGGGAAGAGAGATTCTTAAAGGTACCATCATGCAGACATATATTTCTTAAAGATAAAAATACAACATTTCCAGATTACCTCTTCCCAGGTGTTTGCGGAATAATTCCAATATTTTAACAGTTTTAATTGGAAAATTCCAAGTACGTTGTTTTGGAAAAAATCCACAATCTGGATTAGAAGAGAAACAAGTATAATACCCTCCTTCTTGGAGCCATTTGCACTGTGGTCAGATTCCTCTTGGCCTCAGGCTTGGATTCCGCTCCTGAAAAGCTCCCGAAGCCCAGCTGTCATAGAGGTTGCCCCATTTATTTTTATCTTCTTTCCCCTTGTGGCCAGCATCTGGTTGCCACAACACATGAGAGTCCTCAGACTTCTGGATTCTCTTCATGCATTGATCGCCTCAATCGCAGGTCTGAGTTTCACACAAGAAAGAGAAGTTAACACAGACAGACACAGTCCCATCTCAAGGGGAACATCAATGTAGACAGGAGGATCCCAGCACTTCTCAAGCCTTCCTTCCTGCCCCCTTGTTTAATTTCCAGACTCTCCCCTTGACCTCCCATTGTTGGCTATCGTCAGTACTGGAAAGGTGGCTCATTGGTCAGAGTGCTTGCTGTGGAATCATGAGGACCAGAGTCTGGATCCCAGAACCCATGTACCAAGCCAGGTATCCCCACATGACTGTAAACCCTGCTATGATGAGGATATGTCAGGGAAATCACTGAAGCTTGCTGGTTCCAGGTTCAGGGAGAGCTCCTACCTCAAAGAAATAGGAAGAGTGAGAGAGGACACTCAACTTCCTCTTCTGGCCTCCTTATACACACACAAGCATGCACACACAAAAATATCAAATAACTAGTCTAAAAAATGTGAGCAGGCTTATTTGTTTTCTCCCCCGCATCCATTCTCCTTCTGGCACCAGCCCTGACTTGGGAGGCAGAACTCCTGCTCTCAGTTCCTGTCATCTGCATGGTTGTATCAATACCGTAGCTGAAGCACATGACTTGGTTATGGCCAAAGGCACTGTCACTTTTTCTTTTCTTTTTTGAGACAGGGTTTCTCTGGAGCTTTGGAGCCTGTCTTGAAACTGGCTCTGTAGATCAGGCTGACCTCGAACTCACAGAAATCCTCCCATCTCTGCCTCCTGAGTGCTGGGAGTAAAGGCATGTGCCCCCACTGCTCAGCTCTGTCACATTTTCATAGTCAGAGAACAGGCTTTCCAGATGAGCATGCCAAATTGGATGAAGCTGATGTGAAAATTCTATATCCCCTGGCTCTTTCTAACTAGATTGAACCTGAAAAGATGTGAGATGCTAGGGGATATTGTTTTGCCATAATTACAAAGTGGCTGCTTGTGTAAAGAGCTAATGTGACCTAAACAGACAGAAATCAGGTTCTAGTGACATTGTGAGCTTCCGTGTTAGACCGGACTGAAAGCAAATTCATCCGAGATCAGGCTTGCTGCTGAAGAGCAACTGCACACCCTCCACCTTGGGCTACGTCATTGCATGACTCTGTCTCTGGCAGTTCTGGTACGCACCATGAGCAGCACTGAGTTCCTCCAAATGCAAAGGGCTTTGTTTCTGAAAATGAAGGAAACAGCAGTGTCACTGGAGGGGGGATGCAAACACTGGGTATGTTGGCACAGTTAGTAGAATCCGTGAGCCCACCACTATTTTAAAATCAAAAGGTAATGGTTGAGACTAAGAGTTAGCCACAGAAATATCCAGCATGTTTAGCTTTTTAGCAACGGATATTGCAGTCATTCCACAGATAATTGCTGAGCATTTATGACATGCCAGGTAATATATTAGTGCTTGGGGTGCAAAGGTGCCTGGCTTCTGGGGATTTGAGATGGGCAACACTGACAGAATTAATTTACACTGATAGTAAATTATATTATCAATTTTTTTTGTTAAGGGGAGTTTACATTTTGTTGGTGTATTCCAGGAGACCAACTGAATTTGGCAAAAAAAATATAGTTTTATGAGCTTGATAAAAGATTATCTATTAACAACATGACATGGGGCAAATGTACATGTCCTTAGGGCAGAAATACATAAAATACTTATAATAAATAGGACTAGTGGTGTGGTTCAGGAGGAGACCACTTACCTGGCATGCATCGGGCCCTGGTTTCTATTCTCAGCATCATAAAATAATGACTATTAGTATATTGACAACTTATTACAATTTTTAGTAAAATGTTTCTGTCAATACCAGTTTTAGTATTTGAAAAGCCCCAAACTTAAATGTTCAAACATATCCGGAATGCAACCCTGTCCAGGATACGGTGTTTAGTAAGGAGAAAGCTATGATATTATTTGGATATCATGCTATGGTTATAAAATTATGAAAGCCCTACTTTCATAATCCACTCATCGAAGTTGGGGAGACAGGTGTGCTTGCCGATGTCCCAGGGAAAGATCTGGAAAAACAGTGTTAACTATTCAGTGGGATACACATATGTGTTCCTGGATGATTTTGAACAAGTGTGCACGCCATGAGTACAGAGCATTCTTCAGTTCACAGTGACCCAGCACCTGGGCCACAGCCAGCCGTGCAGATTTTAGGTGAACAGTGATTTTTTTTAAAAAAAATTAAAAACACAGAAATGCTTAAGAAAAGCGAAGGATCATAGACAGGAGGAGTAAAGCACACCTATAATCCCAGCACTCAAGAGGCTAGAACAGGATCCAGCCTGGGCTATACAGCAAGACCCTGTTGCACAGAAACAAACAAACAAACAAACAAAAATCCTAGAGTTTTGTGTCTGCTTTCCAAAACACTTGTCACAAGGATGCAAGTGTGTACTCCATGGCCCCAAGCCAGCTGTGGCCTCACCTCCACCTCTCTCCTTTCCAGGATAAGTGCACTGGGGTTGGCTCTCTTCTCCATATCCTGTAGCTTGGTCAGTTTTTCTATCAGGAACATCTTATCTTTGCCCTCCTGCCAAGAAGGAAAAATAAAAGCATGGAAGATGCATGCTGGTGTAGGGTGTAGATGGCATGGATAGAAAGGGGGTCCCACAAGCCCACAGATGTCTGCTATGTTTTCTTCTGATGAAAGAGAAAAAACATTTCAGAGCAAGCCAATGAGCCCTGGAATTCTCCTGCATTGCCATACGTTCCTTTAAGTGACACCTCCTCCCCAGTGGGCTGGAGCAGTGTCTTTGCTAGCTTGATGCTAGACGCAACTTCCAGCCACCATCTGGAGACTTAGGATGTAGACCTTCAGAAGCCCTGCCTGCAAGCTCCCTGCCCCAGCCCTTGTTGTATGAACTAGTCTTGCCTGGGTCTTCCCTGTCCTACTGAGATGCCAAAGCTTAAGAACTCCACCTCTAAGGACATCAACAGTGATTCAGCCATCAAAGTTATATGTGGGCATGTAAGATGACTCAGCAGGTACAAGTGTTTGGTACAAAACCCTGAGTCCCATCCTTGGAATTCATGTTAGGAGGAGAGAATTGAGTCCTGCAAGTTGTCCTCTAATATCCTACACATATCCTACACATGACAAGGGACACACATGCCTGTACACACACACACACAATATAATAATAATAATAATAATAATAATAATAATAATAATAATTTAAAAACAGAAGGTTCAAAGTTATCTATGTTGGCTGAGATCTGTGAGATTCAACAGTTCAAAGAAGAACAGAGGGAGTGCTCCTTCTCCCAGGAGGCGGGATCACTTCCCCATGAGCCTTATGGCAGGAAGGTGTGAGCTACTCCACCTGTGTGGGGAGTCAGGCGAGCATTACTGTCTCCTCTACACAGGCACTGTCACTCCAATGTCATACAGGCACAGTCGTCCCAGCCTCACATGGTCACCCCAACTTCACATAGGCACGGTTGTCCCAGCCTGTTTCTTCTTACACTTTGAATTATGGCTGTAACATCCTGCTTATAATAATTATCCACAAACCCATCACTGTGTGGCTACTGCTCACACTAGTATTTCTGTGGCCTCTGCTTCAAGATCACTCTCTACTTCCCCCACTGCCTCTATATTCATCAACTGGACTTCCCCAAGAGAGAAGGGCTGCCTCCAGGAGAGGTGGTCATAGAACTGTCAGGACTGTGGTCTAACCAGTAGAAGTGGGTTTCTGGGGGTAGGCCTGGAAGGTGGTACCTGCTTCTGGTTCTAGCCCAACTTCTTTGCCCCCTGATCTACCAACATGTGACAGGTCTCTACCACATGCTCCTGCCATCATGAACTTCCTGCCTTCCTTACCATGATGGACTGAAACATGTGCCAAAATAAATACTTCCTCCATCCGGTTGCTTCTTGCCGAGTACTGTGTCACGGTGATGAGAGAGATGGTTAATGCGTAAACCTCAGGAGTTTTAAAGATAATGGAAAGGTTTGTAGGGATGAAATGAGAGTATATAAATGTCATGGTGGTGAAGTGACATCTGTCAGGTAAGTGCTCACAAGTGGGTCTGGTGCCTAGAACCTATAGAAAAATGACAAGCATCATTATGGCATGAGCTTGTAATTCCAGTGGGGAGGAAGTGAAGACAGGAAGGTCTCTGGGGCTCACTGGCTAGCCTGCCGGGCCTTCTTTGTGAGATCCAGGCCAACAAAAGACCTTGTCTTATATTTTTTTAATGTGGACAGAGTCTGAGGAATGACACCCAAGGCTGCCCTTTGGCCTTCCAGACACATGTGTACACACATACATGTGTACCTGCACAGGTAAGTATGCACATGCACTCACATGTTGGGTAATGGGGACTGGAAATTCATTGTACTATTTATTGTCTCTATTTTGGAATATGTTTCAAAATTTTTATTATACTCTGTTGAGAGAGGGAGAGAGAGACAGAGGGAAATGGGAGGGAGGAAAGAAGGGAGGGAGGGAGGGAGGGAGGGAGG